CTCCATTTCTGGCGCCCCCTGGATGTACGGCGCCCTTAGCATTTGCCTATACCGCCTATGCCTATGCCCTGTGTAGCATTTCAGATTGGCAGAGGAATTGCAGAAACAAAAAATAATCTGAAGAACATGCAAAGCCCACTACACAAGTGAAGATAGTCAATAATAAAGAAGTAGAGAGACCGCTTAAAACATTTATTGAATCAAGTAGAGTACAAGTGGAAAAAGCAATGTGAAATCAACAGCCAGAAATGGCTGCTACAGTATTTCTGTGTTGCTGGCCTGCAAATCCTGATTCAGATGATTCATTCATGCATGATACATTGCATCTGGGACACCAGAACCAAAGGATTTCATCTCTTGTGGCAAATTATTCCTTTCAAAGATCTTATATGGTTTAAAGCAGGGGTGGCCAATTCCAGTCTTCGAGGGCCGCTGTCCTGCTTGTTTTCCAACTATCCCTGCCTGACCTGATTACCTGGCTCAGGTGTGTTCAGCTAGTCAGAAGCTGGAAGATACCATCTTAGATGAAAGCGGAGTGAGGAAAGATAAAGTAAATTGGTATCTTGACTGGAATTGGCCGCCCCTGGTTTAAAGTAAACCTTTATACAAAACAGAATTACTGACTCACTATTAGACACAGTGCACAGATTTACCGAGATCTGTAAGTGTGAGTGTGCAGTAGCTCTTTCTAAAAGCTGGACATCAATATTTTATGTATAATTCCACTGTAGATATAGTTCTTTCTAGCTTCACCTACATGTAAAAATTTCCAGAGGTTGTTTTGGAAAAATACAAAGTAATATAAAACATATATTTTTTTAAAAAGCTAATAAACAACATTTATTACTGTGCAGTAAAAATCTAGTTTTTTTTTCAGCCCTGTATAAAGGCCCCACTGTGCATTCAAACCACTTAGCAACACAATCCACAAATCTTACCAATCCAGTCAGCCCCTGCAGAGTTAAGTGACAGTCCAGTTGTTACTAGTATTTAAAGTGAACAAGTTATCCAGTCAGTAAAACGTGCCCATATATACACTCTTCAGAGTACCGATAAAAATGTAACACTTCAGTGTTCTATTGATGCCATTTACTGTGGTTTCATGTTCATTAGGTTGGTTTAATGAATACCTGTTTGGCTGGTGAGTGCAACACAGAAAATAGGCTGGTGAGAGCTAACTAAAAACCTTTGCAGCCTTTGCAGTAGTCATTTTAGGAATAAACTCAGTCTTGTGTAGTATCAGACTTGTCTCGGGGTAAGTAGCACTGATTAAAGTGGATAGTAAAAGAACATCTTTGAAGTCTTCTAAAATACAGTGGGTTTTGGTGCTCTTTTGCATAATCTGCTGCTGTTTTAGGGCCAATAAGATTTTTAAGTACTGTTAGTATTTATTAGCAGATGGGGGTTGCTGCTGGTGGTGGTAGTGGGTGGGCAGGCAGAAATTATTTAGGAAAGCTGTTGAGAAGGACACTGAGGATGTAATTTGATTATTCTGAGAGTTGTAAAGCCTGTTGAAGACTTTAGCAAAGGGCTTTGGGTTAAAATTTATTGATGAGCTAATGCTTTCATAATGAGCATGAAGGCATGTGGTGACAGCCATGTCCTTTCCCTATCTACACCTACTAAGTGCTTAGAACGGTTTTAAAACATCAAAATAATATACATGTATGATGCCAAACCAGAGAATGAAATACATAATTTGGCATGTTCAAAACTGCATTCTGTGTCAACCCCACAGCTTGTCAGCACAGAAGAATCCATCAGCTAAGCTGCTTGAAGGTAGGATGCACAGTTCAAGGAGACTGTTGGTAGGATTTTACTTAACAGTGACTATCGAGGTGTTGTGAATAGACTCCATGACAGCAGCCAGGCGACTGCACAGGTCGTGGGCCTGGTTGACATGGACTTTGGGAGGGTCTTTAAGCACTACTGTCTCAGTCGATCCATCCAGAACCCTGGGCAGAAACTCTCCCAACTTTATCTGTAATGAGTCTGAACACAGAGGTTTATTTGAGTGATTTACCGTTTGTCAGTGTTAGTTGAGTATATTTTTTTAAGCTAAAAGTACTCAAGATGTAGTTTATGGTTTGATTCATTTTAGTCTGGTTTGTTTTTGAAGATAAGTGGTGAAATGTTTAATGAAGAAAATAGAAAAACACAATAAAAAAAATCCTACAAGTAAAATAAAATTAGGAAAAGTGAGATTAGACAATATAATAAATGTTAATATTTTAATAATTAATTGCTCACAAAAAGTAGAATTCTCGTGCAAAAAAGCCATATTCCTTTTTTCCTAATCTCTTGTTATAAAGTCAGAAATTTGGTATGAAGAGGAAATTAATATTTAGAATCTGGATATATGGAAAATAGAGTGACAACTTTGACAAAACCTTGATAACAAATTCTGTGAAATGGAGAGCCATAAACTGAAACTGACTTATACAGATGACTAAAAAGCACAGCCTTGTGTCAGCAGATTGTTAAATGATGTGCTGATGTGGTAATACAATTAATCTTACCATCCATGTCCTGGCTCAGGCAGCAGCACCAGTGGCTGGGGGTGCCCTCCATGGCATCCCGGTCTTCCTGCGATAAAGCCAAGTCACGACTCATCAGGTGAAGGCAGGGGATGACGGCCTCATCCATGATGGCGACGCCCTCCTCCACTTTGCTCTCTTCACCGCTGCAAAACAGCTGCGATGCACTTTCATTCAGTGCCTGTGTGGTGAATGTTGGAAAGAGGAGGAGAATGGAGAAGATGTATTTACTATTTTGTTAAGTTAGTTCTTAACCCAGTGTACTGGAGCAAAACAAAAGTGACAACAAAAAACCTACTACTGACCTAATAGTTTGACTGAATCGTATGTACCTCTGTAGTGAGTCATTAGGCCAAGTGCTACTTGTTTAAAACTAACTAGTGACAAAGCACTATTGATCAGCCAGCCTTTCTGACCAATATATTGGTCCAGAGCAAATGATTTCAGCAACTGTTGGCTAAAGGGCATAAAATATGAGATGGATATTGACAGTTTCCAAAGGGTGACTGTTACTGTAAGATTCTGATGACCCCTGTTGACTTGTATGCAAGAAATATCATATGCAGGAGGATTTAGCTCAGTGTTTGTTTCCAGCAACTTCACAATAATGTACAGTATTTCCACACAGTGGCTACAACAGCAGCCTTACTCACAGTGAGGCATTTCCTCCTGTAAACTGCAATGAGAGACTTGTCCACTCCACGTTTCTCGCCGTTCTTCAGCAGGGTGGTGTTGGTCTCGTATGCATGAGTCAGGTAGATCAGTGCCTCACGCATCCTGCAGCACATGCGCAAGGTAGCAGTCACCATATCATTCTCATAGATATGCAGTACCACTATTGGCTGATCAATAAGAAACACATTTCTGGAATGTAAATAGTAAGTGTTTCTAAAAGGGCAGAACACAAAGGTTTATAATTTATAAGTTAAATTCATTCAGCACAGTAGTCACATCTTTAAAAACATATGAAAAGTGTGAGTATTTCCTGCCTTATAACATAATGTACCTGATGCATATTTCTCCTTACATAAAAGATCTTACAAAATGCGCTTTTTCTTGTTCTTCCCATGCACAGTGTCAGAACATTTTTAACTGTTGCATTTTTTATAGGTTGATTTTGAAAGAAAAAGAAGAATAATGCATATTTAATATGTGGTTTAGGTTGACTGGTGACCCTAAATTGCTCATAGGAGTGAGTGAGGTTGTCCGTCTCCCTGTGTCAGTCCTGTGATAGACTGGTGACCTGTCCAGGGTGTACCCCGCTTCTCGCTTAATGTCAGCTGGGACTGGTTTCTACCCCATCTATGACCCTCATTGGGATAAGTGGTATAGATAATGGATGGATGGATAATGCATATTTTCTCAGACTTTAGTGGTAAACTTTCAGGAAAATCCATGGTGTCTGAAATTTTTGATGGGACACAACCAAATGGATTGATATTGATCTACAGAAGTGATCTGACACATGCTGGTTAGAAAGTGTAGTGGTGAATGTTCAACACCTACTTGCCATGCTGGTAGTGCTCCAGCCCAGTCAGCAGGTAGACAAACACTGTCCTGAACAACCTGTAGTCATCATGCCACTGCTGTGAGAGAACGCCCAGAACAACCCGCAGTCATTTCCTTTGTTCTTTGTGGTTTGTGTTAATTCAAATTAGATGCATCTTACAGCTGAGAGAGTAAAACCCCTTATGGTATAATGCAAAACCAGCATGGATGTCACTTGCTGAGCACAGTTTCAATTGTCTAAACATTGTGTGTTCTGTTTGTGTCAAATTGTGCCTAACTGTAATAGAGAATATTCCATGTAACTCCTTTCTTAAAGGATAAGTTTGGTGATTCTATATTTTTGTTAATGTCAAAAAAAATCCCATGAAAAGACTAAAACCAATATGTCTCTTTCCCACATCCTGTCTGGCCTGTGAAGACAAACAAAAAACCCAACCCAATCCAAACCAAACAAATAAAATAAAATAAATGTAATGGAAGAATTTAATGCATGATTATAGACAGTACCAAGTATTCATCCATGTCCATGTCTTCAGGCTTGATGAGGCGCAGCTTGGCTCTGGCTTCCCTCATGATACTGATGGCCCTGCACAGACAGAAATGTGAAGAACCTGACTGATAGAGGAACATCAACACAAAGCTGCAGATCTCAGCTCTGGACACTAGATGGCACAATTTGCACACTATATGGCCGACTGCATTTTGCTTATTCTATGATGTGCTGCTGCTTTGAGTAAATGCAAGTGCACACATGCATACTGTATGTAAACAACCCACCAGACATTGTCGGTTTTCTGATAAGTCAATTTATCTTGTCTCCTAATACTTCCTCACAACTTGCTTTAATGAATGTCCAACAGAGGTTTCATCCTAGATTGTGACAGTACTGTATTGTACTGTATATATACTCTATTCCTGTTTTTAAACCTTTTGAGAAGTGTGCTAGACTCATGAAGGGGCCATTTGTCTGTAATCTGTGTGTACCTCTCATCAAAGCTCAGGTTGCGGTCAGTGAACTGTTCCAGCAGCGTCCTCTCAATAATGCGCTTGGAGGCTTTGTTCTGGAAGAAGTAAACCAGAGCATGTTGTAGACGAGCATCCTCCTGGGGTGTGGTCTCCTCCTGGGAGAGCTCATACAACCGGGAATACTCCTCATGGAAGGCCTGAGGAATTTTAATATTTTAGTTTCCCAAACTGCTCATAATCAGTAAACATGTAACAGTATGAAGATACATTTTCGAAAACACAAACATATAAATGACAGCTTTTTGCTTCGACTATCAACACAGGAATTTCTTTGTGTGAGGAAAGCAAATAGTTTTGTAAATGTAGACAATTTGAAATATTCTCTCTGAGTATTTTCTTTGTTGTGATAAAATGGTGAGGATAATTGGATTTTACGAATCAAGACAGTCAAGGTTAAAACACTCTACTTGTTATTGACTTTACCTTCTTATGTTTAGAATACTGTGGTTTGTAAAAACTCTGCTCTTTGTCATTTATAGAACAAAACATTTAGGAAGCCTCTGATAACATAACTAATTGTCAACAGAAATTATAATATGATGTGTGCTGATGATATTACAACAAAACCTGCATGAGAAAATAAAGGAATTTAGTCAGAAATTCAATTGCAGTCAAAAGATCCATCAGAACATTTTAATCTATTGTAATGTCATGTTTATGATTCTAATAAGTGTTTTAGTAAGACATGGCTAATTAAAACTGCTGATATAGAATTAGTTACTCCAAACACACTTAGTACATTTAAAAATAAGGAATGTAATCCTGCAGTGATTTTATGCAATAGAGTGCAGGTATAAGATGTGAGCACCCTCTATATCAATCGGTATCCTTCACAGACCATACCTTGATGAGGCCAGCCTCAGGACCCTCCTTGTCAAAGGTTTGCCGGGCCTTGGCTATAGCTAGAATGACGCCCTGCATAGCTGGAGTCAGCATCATCTAGCAAATGACACAGCAGTGAGGAAAGGAAACAGAGTGGTTATAACACCAAGTGGAAACTTTCTGTAAAGAAATACATTAAAATTGCAAAACAGTAAAATCCTATTGTGTTCCAAAAGCTGTGAATGACCATCAGGAAGAACAAAACAACACATGTGCAGGCTTTTACTAGAACATCTCTGTTGTGCTAAAAGTTTACATCAAATCTATGTTGAACTTTTTAATCACACAGCTGGTGTCATAAATTTTACTTTGGCAACGCTTGCAGTGTTTTGAGCAACTTTAATGAAAGGACCCACACGTTTCAACATGAAACTTCCATCGGGGTCTGATGAAGGCTTCATGCCAAAACTAGTTTTTTTCTTCTCGTTTAAGTAGTTAAAAATCACTTCAAGTGTGGTTGGCCTTTTTGCTACTCAGTTTGTATTTTGAATTGTCTATGCACCTTGACAGTGGGTGAAGTTGTGCCAGAACCTTCAGCTGTATATAAATTTAACTTCAGACTATACTGAAAAGCTGCTGTTCTTTCAGTTCAGTTAATATTTGTGACTTCTAACTGGAAAGGCTTGCAAGTGCAGCAGTGCAGTATTAGCTTCTTACCTCTTCATTGTATCCATCAGCATCAGCCCTCACCATGATCCTGCCTACGTTTGGGATCTCTACTTCCGAGACCTCGTTCTCAACCTGTCGCTGTCTAACCGTGATCTCCTGCTGCTGCTCCACATTTTCCTGCTTTGCTTCATGTTGAGGAGCTTCTTTGGAAGCCTCCGACTCTCCCTCAGCCTCAGAGCCAATGCCTGCCACCTCTGTTTCATCCTTATCCACATGGAGGTCTAATGGTGCCTGGTTACTAAGCTCTGCTTCAGGGACAGGAATCTGGTAGAGAAACAGTTAACTTCAATTTAATAATGCACCTACCCTAATCTGAAACATCCAAATGAATTATAAACACCTGTGGTGTGAATGAATATATCTAGAAAATATCAGGTCAAATACAGTTATCAGGTCAACATCTTGTTGTGTACTGTATTTGTTTGTTTACTCCAATGGTGAACAAATTGGATCAGAAAATGTGTGAATGTCAAAATGGCTAATTGCATCGAGTGAAAGGCTGGTTGTATTATATGTAGATAGATTGGTCAGCAGAAAGCCTGTACAGCTAGAAATACAACTTAAGGGAATACTCACTTTTAATGTGATCAATAGAACTACTGATATGTGAACAGGAACTATGTGGTAAAGCAGTGGATGTTATGATTATGTTACCAGCGTATTTATTGAGACAGCCTACAATATATCCTATATTTGCTGTTTGTCAGACTGAATAATGAACTTGTAGTGGTAGAAGTACTGTGATTCTGTATTTAAGTAAAAAAACAATATGAATCATGTATTACAAGTAACAGACCATTCAAAATCTGACTTGTTCTGCTGGACAGTTACAAAAATTTGTATGAATTTCTTCCCTTTAATCTTAATCCTTTATTTAAAGATAACTTAATATCTGAATGCCTTAAAAAGTATTATAATGAAACTGCATGAGACGTTTAGTGATAAAATGTTTCTTTGGTGCCATCATCATACAGACATCTGTAATGTGACAAGGAGTTTCAAGAACTGCTTTTTAAAGGGGTGACAAAGTTAGGGAATTTTAATCCTTAATGATCTTAGAATACATATTCAATATAAAATCTTCATCTGAGAAGTAGCTAATGACTATAGCTTTCAAATAAATGTAGTGGATTAAAAAGTATAATATTTGCCTCAGAAATGTGGTGGCAGGCAAGTACAAAGTACTATAAAATATAACTACTCAAGTATCTCAAAATTAAACTTAAGTCCAGTACTTGAGTAAATATACCTAATTACTTTTCCTCCACTGTGAACTGTACTGGTGTTTCTAATATTTTGACCACAACAAAAACAAAAAATCTGTAAAAATGAAACAATATGCCTCTGAAAAAACAGTGGACTATCAAACAGATCAATGAAAGCAGTAGCTACCCCGATCCTTATTTTATTTTTACATTATTCGACCCCTGGCCGGACATTAAACCTTCCATCACTATGCTAAATACTGAAATGGGATCCTTGACCCAGATGAAGACACTTTTTTTGTGCCCTGGCATTTCTGACCCAGAGGGGGAACGGGTGAGCAGACTGACACAGATTTGCCCACCTGACTCTGCAGCTCCTTCTCAGCTGATGTGGAGCTCTGGCTCGCTCCCAGGGTGTCAGTGACTGCTGAACTGTTGCTGTTGTCTGGCTGACTGCCAGGACTCTGTGGTGGTGGTGCCGTTAACTCTGATTCTTCTGGGGTCCGAAAAAGACGAGAGAGGCTGTGAGTGAACACATGTATGTACAGTAATATAATAAAAAGAACTGCTACTGATACCCAGTCTGTTCTGTTTCCATTAGAAAAGATGCTTAAGTAAATATTCTGCTTTCTCCAGTCAACACTACAAACCTCCAGACACCTCTCTGGAATTGGGCTCTGGATCTTTCTCTGTTTCTGGATCTGGCTCTCGCAGCTCTGAAGCAGCTCCCTCCTCCAGCTCTTCAGTGGTGGGCCCTGACTGGGGTGCTGGCTCAACAGGAGTTTGCTGTATATTGTCTGGACTGAGGTCTGTGGGCTCTGCAGAAGCTGAAGATTCTCCCTGTGGGGTTGCTGTCTGGCAGAACTGCTCCTCCCATTCACGAAGCTCCTGCTGGAACCAGCGATTATCTTCTTGGACATAGCGCCTGAGAAGGGGTGGCAGAGAGTCCATGCCATGCAGTACCTGGCCTGTCTCATCATCTGTGTCTTCTAGGTAGATGTGGGGTATTGACAGTTAAAAGACTTGTACCATAAAACCTGCTTACTGACCTCATGTGTACATACTGGCAATAAAACGTGCTTTAGAAATTAATTACACATATTTGAATTAATTAGTACTTAAGATTTACTTCATATTTAATATGGAGCAGGACTGTGTTTTTGCATTTTTCTAATATGGAACAACCTTCCCAGTTGAGTTAGGACAGACTACATAAAAAAAAAAAACATTTATGTCAACTGGAATTTCTACAATGGTGGAATTGTTATGTATTATTTTGCTCTGCTTTTATCTGCTTTCAATGATCTAGTCTGAACTAGCCTGACTGATGAAAATAGGACCTATTTTGTGCCCCTTAATCTATTTTCTTGTTTGCAATAAAACCTTTACTTATGATGCTTTCTGATGTCCATATATTGACGTGCAGAAATCTATACATATTGATTTCTGCATGTATTAGCATTTGCAATAATATATTTTTTGGAAAGCAAGGACCTTCCCATTGTCTTTATGCACCACAAGCTTTCACTGGATTTAATATTTTTACAATTATTTCCAGCCTTTCCTAATGTACAAATGTAACATAGTCTTTTTTCTCATCCTATTGCTGCAGAAGGCCTTTTTGAAAACTTTCATTCCTACATTTCTACATGGCACTTGGTCTACATGGTCTACTTGAGAAAACACTTCCTTTAATCCAAAGTGTCCAGCTCAGCTGTGTGCTAATCCTCTATGAATGAGGTTCCCCTTTAATTTCAGCTCTTCAGAGAAGTTTGTGCACATTGTTTATTCATAAAATATTCTGTTCCTCTTTATGTATCACAGTAATGTCAGGGAAATGCCAATGTAGATACAACCCTAACCTGTAATAAGGTGGGGTAGCCGGTCATCGATGTACATGAGGCAGTAGGCACTGGCGTTGGTCACGCCCCCGAATGAGTCTCGCTCCAGCTCCTCCCATGATGATTCCGTGATGCTGATATCGTTATACTTCATCCAGCGCTTGTTGGCGTGGTCATATATGTAGGCCCAGTAATGACCCGCTGATGCCTGACCCTCATGAACAAGTACTGCATGGAGTCTGTAGGGTACCTAAATAAGAGTAGAGTGGCAAGCAGACTGCTCATTGCACAGAATACTGAACAGGGATCCATTATCCAAATACTGAGAATTGACTGTGCAGCTCTAAATTGGCTGCGGCATAACATTTATCTGATCTGTTCTTATTTGTATGTGACTTTAATTCCTGTTTATCATGAGTAAATTAGGTGAGTATACAACTTACCTGGCAGAGACTGTTGTCTGAATACATGCCTTCAAGCACCTGAGTGAGCCTGTCAATGCTAGCCTTCAGCTCTGACACACACACACACACACACGCACAAAACCCAGAAAAAAAAAACAAATCAATAACCTACAGTACACCTACAGATAAGTGGGGATGATGTATTACTGTACAGTACCTGTCCAGTGCCAAACAACAGACATTTAAAGTTAGTAATGATCTAGTACACACAGTGGAGCATTTCATAGCTAAAAATAGATCTCAGTCTAAGTGTGTATCATTCTTATTCCCTAAGACTCTAAAAATAGAGTCTTAGGGAATAAGAATTATGAAAAAAGAATGCCCTGCTCTTAAAAATATTAATAAATCTGAACCTGACAGTGTTTGTCAATCATGTTAAAAGCACTGTTAGTGTGCATATGGTGAGTCTTTGCATTAACACACCATTTATGTCATTCTCTACTTCGGTCCTCCAGCGTTGTAGGCAGGCCTTAACAAAGTGAAGCTCTTCTTCTGTGATGCTGTGTGGGGCTGGGTGTGGTGGGCAGTCAACAGGGTGTCTGCACTGGGTGAAGGGCTTGTATATGGGGGTCCTCTGGCAACTTGAAACACTGGAAACAGGTCCATCAGATGAAGCTGTGTCTCCAGGTTCACTGAAGGTGGCAAGAAGGTTGTGAGTGTAATATTCGAGTTTTATATAGAAGCAACCTCTTTCCTAAAATCAGAGGGTATTCTTTCTTAGCTCTGTTTTGATAAATATATGCTTCTCTCTTCAACCACAAATATTTAGTGTAGCAGAACACATCAATTAGAGTTCTGGTCTCTAGACTGCAATAATTAACTTGGTAACTATACAGTTATTTTTACTAATAGGAAAGATGGCTCAACTATGACAATAAGACTGGTATTAAAAGGTGAAATCATCTTTTAACAATAAAAAAAGTTATGTATAACATGCCATGTTGTTCATTCTTTATGTTTTATGCTATGCTACTAAAAATCTGTACACAATATATTATTCTGCTTTTGTCTTTGACCTGTTCTGCATACTGTACCTGTTGTCTTTAGAGACGGATTCACTGGGGGAGTGGCTTGCCGGAGTTGGTGAAGATGCAGCTGGTCTCAGGTCTTCAGCTGGGGAAACAGTTGTAGGCTTGGTGGTAGCAAACTCTAGCACAAACTGTAGCATGTCTGCCAGGGGATACTTGATGGGTCCAGAGCCATAGTTTTTGTAGCTGTGAATAAATAGACATTTAGGGCAAGATTTGTTCCCATGCAACTTTAAAATCAGATCTCAGCTTTAACAGGTAACCTACCACCTACCTCTCAAGTTTCTGTTGAAGAACAGCAAGTTGCTCTTTTAGTTTTTTCACTTCTCCTCTCCTTTCATGGGTCTGCTCTATGTTTTTTTGAAGATACCTGTATAAAATAAAACAATTAGTATTATAGCTTTGTTTTTTCTTCCTTTCTACATTTATAATACAAGGAGCATTCTAATGCCATTCATTTGTGAGACAATCCTGGTGAAAAATTGGTGCAGACTTTGTGTTCTTTAAAATTATCCTCTTGTCTACTGTAGAAGCACTTTTGACCATGTTGGAAAAAATGAAACTGACAGAACATGACTGTGTTATCTGTACAAAGCTCACCTGTCCATATAAATGATTTGTGGAAACTCAAGTTTCTTGTGTATCTTCTCAGGACGACCAAGCTGGGTGTTGAATTCAAATCTAGACAGTTCAAATGTCAAGACTGGAGGTAACTTTTTGAACCATCTCTGGAACCAAAATACAGGCCGTCTTAGCACATCATCAGATTGCACAAACACTGACTGAATGTAGAAATTCTAGGTTTAGTCAGTTTATAAGGCTGTTCACCTCACGGCCAGATGTAACAATGTGATCTGAATGTACTGATTCAATCTCCTTCTCGACCATTGCACCTTCAAGGCATTCATCCAGGTTGTTGAAGCCGTTGACTTGCAGGGGATACTGGCCAAACTGCTCAATTCTGCATAATGTCTTCCCTAAGCAGAATCACATAAATGTGAGAATTGAGAACAGAATTCACATTGATTAGGAAAACATTACTAAAACACAAAATCATACCTTCATGTCTTCTTTCTGTTACAAAAGTACCATAGAAAAGCTGAACCATGGGATTTTGTTGTTTGTCTTCTGTGTTACTGAAAGTAAATCATGACATTTTGTAATTTAGAAATGAAATCCAGTAAAGAAGAATAGTCATTTACCGTATATGTGGATGACATCAACATAACATCACCTACTTCCCATTGGCAGCCAACTGAAATGCATCCTCTAACCAGTCAAGCAGTTTGTGGGAAAACTCACTTACATCCTGAAATGGAAACATAAGAAATAAGTATCAATTTACCTTCCCAATTTCTTTATTTCTCTTCCATTACTCTGTTGTTCAGTCTGTGGAGCTGATGAAGGGCAGTCTAAGAACTAAAGGGAAGCTTGAACAGCTTGTATGGAATGTATCAACAACTGTACTCCATAGCAGTTACTGGTTTGGGGACGGCTGTGGCTCAAGAGGTAGAGCGGGTCATTTCCTAACTGGAGGATTAGCGGTTCGATTCCTGGCTTGTCCAGTCAACATGTCGAAGTGTCCTTGAGCAAGACACTGTACCCCCAGTTGCTCCTGGTGATGTCACCGGTGTGTGAGTGTCTGGGAGTGCGAATGGCCAAATAGTGTGAAAGCGCTTTGAGTGTGCTGTAAAGCATAGAAAGGCGCTATACAAATATTTTACCATTTACTGGTTCTGGGTCAGAGTCTGAGTTAAGATAACCAGGTAAGAATGAGGAGTCAATGCAGTCACACAAAGATTCTCACAGGAATACCAAGATAAATATTAGATGTATAAGTTACTCTTGACCTTGGAAGCAAGTTTGACAAGAAAAGAAAAACAAATCTTAACCAAAGGTAAAAGTTTCCAAAGCTTTCAACTTCATCTCAAGGTCTTTCTGAGTGAATGGAGTCAGTTGTCATGGAGATCGTTCGGTTGTAAGATGACCTGACTGTAGTACCATACTAAGACCATGTAATGACAATTCATCTGTCTCCATTTGCTGTGAAAGACTGTGAAAGCTAGAAAATGACTGTAGACACAACAAGAAACAAAGGAGAGAGAAATTCAACAAAGATTCCAAGGTGGCTAACCAAGAAAGCAAGTTAAAACACAGGAGTGATACTGCAAGATGCAGTCCAAATGTAGGTTCACAGATCATGCATGGTTCGGTGCAGGAGCAATCTCCTGCTCTTTGTTTATTCTTCCAAAACATAAATAAAATATTACTGCCTTGATAGAAAATGCATGAGAGCAAGAAACACAGAAAGGGAGAACGGTAACCACTGAAGCAAAATTAAACAAAGATAGACAACTTTACCAGGTGTATTTCATTGTGGTTGATTATTACATTGAAAAAATATTCTGCTAATGACCACAGATTTCACACACACCAGAATGCTGAAATGTCATTGTCCAGAGTGATAGAAGGTGACATGAGTTGCAAATATCAAGCATGTCAGACATTTCTCCTCTGAACAGCAGTGTCAATTCATTCACAGTAGGTAGTCCCAGAGATGTACTCTGGGTAGGGTGGACCTTGAGTCAAGTGTTGTACCTGCTGGGCTTCACTGGTCCTGAAGGCTTCTCGCAATAACTCCACTGCAGCAGAAGGATCCACAAACCTGCGGATGGAGCCCACCATGAGGGCAAACAGACAGCGCAGCTCCTGCATGAAAGCTATGTTCCTCTTGTCCTGCTGACACAAACTCAGAGTCAAACTTCACCACTTCATAGCTACACTATGTTTACATTATTAAGAGTAAAAATATGTATGAATGAAAACATGGAAGCAGAGGTCTCTCTGGTGAAAATAGCAGCTGCAGCGTAACAGTGGTTGTTTAAAAATGAGCTGGAGACAATAGCTTACTCACCGAATGGCTCTTACACTTCTCCAGTATTCGCTCAGACAGATGGTAATTGACAACCAGCCTCCTGAACACAGGCAGGTGGAACAATGACTGTAAAAAAAACAAAAGAAGGAGCACTGATGCAGTTTTCTAGCAAAGGTCAGATTTGGAAAATTAAAAGCTAGTAGAACATGATCACAGTCATGCACTGGAGAGGTGATCTAGTTTGGAAAGATGACAAGGAAAACAGATACAAAATATGTTAACTGACCAACACAGAATACTGTTCCCCATGTAACAGTTCATGTTCTGTCAGTTTGTAACAATCCAACGTTCATTTTACATGACATTTTAAACCATTTAACACATGGGTTGTTAATAGATTAAGGTTACAATAAAATGAAAAATCACACAATTCTGTAAATGGTAGGTTCCCTTCATGACCCAAGTGAATATGCCACGTCTCTTTTTCAGTGAAATAAATGGGGTGCAAATTTGACATTTGAGCATAAACGAATGAAGAGTGGAAATGGAGGGCTGAGGAATCCAGTGGAAAAACTGGATTCAGTAAAACCACAGCTTTTACTCAGTTATTCGAATTGAGTATTCAAAATGGTCTCCAAGTAGAAATAAAATTAAATAAACTGATTCTTTGCGTTCAGCAATAAAACACTGGAGATAACTGTGCCTCAGAAACCTTTGAAAAACCTTTTTAGAAATAATTCCTGAATTTTAACTTCAGCCTTCTTCCATTCAAATCTTTTCAAGAACACATCTTTAATCTATGGCAAACAAACACACACACACACACACACACACACACACACACATACTGTAATAAAAGTCAGTTATTCTTATGTGTCATGTATAGTGGTGAGTAGGGCTTCTGAGCACTTATGAATATCCTGATATTCATAAGTGCTATATACATATATATTTCTCCCTTTGAGCAGGAAATTCAATTACAGCTTATCTCAGTTTTACTGTAATTTACACCACAAAGGATAATAAAGGGGATATGAACTGACAACCGAATCATGTGGTCACTCATGGCCTCAATCTGATAGCATAATTACTTTTTTAGGGAAGGCCGCTTTATCAAGCGTTGGGCTCTGTTGAATCTACAGCAATCAGTTCAGTTGTAACACGCAGTATCAACGCCAGCAAAAAGACCAAAGGGTATCATTTGTACACCATTTGTATTCAAACAGCACTGCCTCATTTTCCAATTTCTATTCCCTGATAATAACCTGTGTCCCTTAGGGGCCTGACTTCTAAATCAATGTAGAAGCATATCCAAGCTCAACAGAGACAAACAATCATTGCCTCTTCACTGTCCATTTCAGACTCACACTAGGAAATCCACCGCTCACTCCATCACATTACTCTCTATTTAATTACACACGCAGCCAGTGCATTTCAATAAGGGCTCCAATTTCTGCCGAGCCACCTGATAGGACTGACTATATTCAGTCTGGGATGAACTTATAATAGAATTAGCAGATTAGAGAAATACTGTATATTCTCATCTAGGAGGAAGATGCCATGTCTTTTTTTTATTTCTTCTTCTGATGTTTAACTCTACTGGTATGATATATGATCTATATGAAAAGATGAGATTCAAGCAAGATCTCACTGTGGCATTTCTGCTGTCACTGAACTCAGAGCTGACATCATTTTGAACAAGGCCACAAAAGAAAAAAATCACTAAATAAAGTATATTACATATATTGTGTGCTAATTTTATATTTGAAAAAAAAAAGAAGTAGGTTATTGCCAAAAAGAGATTTACTACCTGAAAACAAGGTTCAACACCTCTGTCAGATTAAAGTTGGAAATCTTGGAGGGAAAAACATTTGTTAAGCCAAGTGAGAGCGCAATTAATTAGAGAGAGAGAGTGTAATTAAGTACAATATGTTCTATTCAGACCTGTCCAGGGTGTACCCCGCTTCTCACCCAAAGTCTGCTGGGACAGTATCCATGAATACTTCCCAGATCCTCAGAACTTTGATGCAAGCGATCAGACATTGATTCTCTCTGGCCCTGCTCATCCTCACCTGGATGACAGCACTGAACCAGCAGGTGTTTCCCACATTGCGAATGCCCACAGGCCACTCGCCTTGACGGACCCAGTCTGCAGGGCTGCACATCTCACTCTGGGCTTCACATCTCTTCCTCTTTATTATTGCCGCATTCTCCTCTGCACTGGCCTCTAGAGCCCTATAGAACATCAGATTATCCATTTAAAAGCACCTATTTGACAACTCTATTTAACACAGTATGACTTAGTTTGATTTACTGTCCTGTGTATAGGGTAGCATTATAAAATCTTTACGAAATAAATCCCTTTAGTCTTCAAGGAAAACACAAACTATGCTGCAAGACAAGAGCAAATGCCTGGTGTGCTAACTTCAGTATGGTGACATGTTGATGATTCGAAGGTAAACAGTAGCATGCTAATCTTTTCAAGTTTCTATCTATTGCTTGTGCCAATCTACGTAATGGGTGTGGACTATCTATGTTGTAACCCTTGGCTGTGTAGTAATAATAATAATAATCTTGGTTATAATCTAGATGGTTAGTAAGCCATATCAGAAGGTAGCCCACCTGCCCACAGCCAGTGTAAAATTATTATTTTTTTATTAAAAAAGCAGGTTCTTCTGTACCTATGGAATTCTCTCTCCTCCTCCTGGGCATTGTGGGACTCTTGGAGGCTGAGTTCAATGGCAGTCTGCAGTTCATCTTTACAAATTCCTCCAGAAACAAACAGCATGACAATCAACAATTCTAGTTAAAACAGTCTTAATGTTACATTTCAACAACATAACATAATAGTTTGCATAGGTCATCATAAAATCACCCTTAAAATAAAATCACTGAGTGCTGTTGACCAAGTCTGTTTTTAGTTATTCTCAGCCAGAGATTTGGTTTTCACTTGACTAAATAGACAACCTGTACATGGAGGTACTACACGGACATTTTTAAGAGAAAAATTTGACTATCAGAACATTTTAACACTGTTATATGTGTTTCTCTGCATGTAATTGCATATCATTTTTATTTTTTGACACTAAATAAAATGTAGTCAGAATTTTGGGCCTGCCTATTTTGTCCCTAGTGGTACCTTTTTGGCCCTCCCAGTCTTCACCAGAAGTCTCCAACTCTGGAGTTTGTCCAGAATCCTGAACCTCTGCAGGCTGGGTTGTTAGCAGTCCAACAGCATGTCCAATGTCACCCTGACTGGCCTTAAGGAGAAGGGACAAGATAAGGGGAGAGATTTAGGATATTATTAGTGTCTGCAGAAGATCTTAAAAGCTGATAATGATTCTTTAGATCTTACATTCAAGGCTCTGTAGAGAGTCTGTGGGTCCTGGATGCCAGTGATCTCCCTCAGCTGGTTGATCAGCATTTCACTCTGCTGAGGAAAAAGATTGGTCATGGGTCAAGCTTGAGATCTTTCATATACCGCTTAAGCTGACATTTCCTTTGTGGCACTCACATAGTTTGCGCTCATGATGGACTGGCATTTGACTGACATTTGAGCTGATCAAATGTCAGAACTGGGCCACAAGTTACAGTTTTACAAACCTTTTTTCAGTGGTTTGTCATAAAACCCACATTAGCCGACACAACATGAGGTATATATGGAGCTGAAGGACAAATGCCCAAATGCCAACCTGTTGAGGCCCATATGTTAGCTGGGCCAGGACAAAGGCTTAATATAACTGAGAAAAATTCAGTGGCTTCAAAAAGCAGTATTAAAGCAGTGACAGTTAAATGAGAGGATTGATACCATTCTCACATATGTACAGCATATATGAGGACCCGTGGCCAAGCAGCCAGCAAAGACATTTTTAGTGTAAGCATGCACCCTCTATTATAGTAAACTACAAAATCTAAAGTGTTAGTGAGCTTTGGAGGTGCTGGTAGTTGGACTGTATTGCAGCTGGTCAGAGCCAGGCGTTCTGTTTACTCTTGTTTCCAGTCTTTGTGCCAAGCTAAGTTAACAGGTGGTAGCTTTATATTTACTGTACTGGTGTGCAACTGGTATCAATTTCCTCATCTAACTCATGGTAACTGAGCTAATAAGTGTATTTCCCAAAACATTTAACTATTCTTTTTACTGAAGATAGGAGCAAATGTTCTATCCATGAATTGCTGTCTTGATTTGAGAAGTGTTTCCTTGTTGGGGATTCCATGTTGACTCAACAATTTTAGCCAACTGTTTTTTTTAAATAACAAATAACAGAAGTGTATTGATGCTAAGTGCAGTCAGTTGTGTCACCTCAGCAAATATGCCAGCATTCCATTATCTGCATTGAGACAAGTAAAAACTACTCTCAAAAGGTCTTGATATGCTTTGACCTCGTAAACATAATAAATAAAAACATGAGTCCGCTCAGTGAGAGGTGCTATATAAAGCCTGCTACCCAAACAGCAGGTGGACATGTGAGGTTTTCACTCTCTCTCTCTCTCTCTCACACACACACACACACATGAAACCAAGAGCAAGCTGACCAGACTTATATGGAGTCCAGGGGCTATCTAAGACTCTCTTAGCCTCTATTTTGGGCTACTGACATGGATAGCACAGGCTTCTGTTTATCATTCCACTCACCATGCCACCAGACCTGAGTGACAAAGGCCCTGGGTGTCTCATACTCTGGCCTTCTCCCCCTCTCTCTAACATACGCATACTTCTATCTTTGTGAGGACACTCATTGCATCCCCTACCCCCTTACCCTAACCTTAACTATCAGAACTAAATGCCTAACACCTAACCTAAACTATTTCTAACCCGAACCCTAAAACCAAGTTGTAATCCTCAAAAAGCTGTTTCAGAAAGTGAGGATCTGACAAAATGCCCTCACCCCCCTTACCCTAACCTTAACTATCAGAACTAAATGCCTAACACCTAACCTAAACTATTTCTAACCCGAACCCTAAAACCAAGTTGTAATCCTCAAAAAGCTGTTTCAGAAAGTGAGGATCTGACAAAATGCCCTCACTTTTTTGGTCCTCACTACATAACAAGTACAAGAACACAAGTACACATTTTTCCTATGTTAAAACCAAATAGAGAACACTGACCGACATTATGATTTTTGACATTTCCTAATATCACAAAACTTTTAATGTATGTAACCTGTTACTTTTAGTACATAATACCATTAGAAGTTTGGCTCTGCTGGAATAAAGGTTTATTGATAAAGCAATATCCTGCTTGGGTGGTTACAGAGCCAAATGCTGATTTAAATGTAAATGCTTCCACCTAGAATGGTCAAATTTTTACTACAAAGAATAAATGAAGTCTTCAATAGGTGTACAAAACTACATTTAATAGCACTGGTAGGTCTGTGTGAAAAATGTATTTATCAAGCATTTGCATGAGCATTTATTTGGTAGGTTACATCTTTTAAAATCAAAACTGGGATACCAGTTAGGACATATGTATATAACTAAAACAAAATCTAATGTTTTATATATTTTCACCACATTGGGGAAAGACTGAATTTAAGGGCATTTTGTGCGTTTCTGGCGCATTCAAGTGTTTTCTAAATAAGTTTTACATAAGATAATATTAAAATGGCATTAAATGTAACTTTAAAATGTTTTTTAAACTGCAGATTTGACCTTTACGTTTTTGTCCACACAGCAGAAGGGTTAGTGTTAACGTTAGTTCAGGCTTTCCGACGCAAACATGTCATTTGTTATGTTAATAACGTTTCCATCGCCCTTTGCGCTCACCGAGTTCGTTGAGTTTTCTCCATTTTGTTCAGTTTTCATTGCAGATATAAAAACCCTTGACTTTCTTTCTCTTCTTCCTAAATTCCTCGAGCTCAGACTCCGAGTCAAACCAACTCCATCTGTCAGGCGCCGAGAGCGACCAGCCAGCTGCGCGCGCTCACCTGTCAGGGCTCGCGCGTGCACAGGAGCCAACGTAGACATTAACGCGCGCGCTCTCGTAGATTGTGAGTCTCCTAAACATTTTTCTGTAAGCGAAAATGATTTACGATTGCCGAGAAAGCTTTGCTCTATACGTTTAGAGACAGTGAACATATACCTTAAATAAAGATAAAATAGTTTAATATCTTACACAAAAAAGATTCACTACATCTACAGGAACCTCATATGAGCACAACCTACTTGCTGTCAGCATCTAGTGCATCTTAATGGCTGTAAACAATGATGGTTTCTGTTATTTCATGATATGATCATGTATATTTTTGCTTAGTTTACTTTAATAATGTAGTTTTTTGCAGTTACACAAAGATTAATTTGTCCATTCGTCATTTCAGTGCTTCAAAACATCTAGAAGTTACATTTTTGTGCACAATGTACTTAATGTTGTTTTTTTTAAACAATAAGGAATAAACCTACAAATTGGGCTCTAGTAAGGTTTAAACAGTTATATTTTAATTCCTGAATTTCTCCCCTAAATGTTTTAAATTAAAACAGAAAACCCAGTTTTCATACTTTGTGATAATATTATACTCAAACTATATGTTACTTGTCATTTGCTTCAGCTTCATTTAAAAAGACATTTTTCTTTCTGATAATGAGTGAACGTTTCAAACCCAGAATACCAGATTTTTTTATGGCAACCATTTCCTCCACAAATTAGCATATTTGTAAACTTTGGGGTCTTGAGAAGAATTTCAATTTTACTCTGTTCAGGAGCTTTCAAATGATGTTGTAACATCAGGCTTCTTATACAACAGCACCTTCATTAGTCTTTATTTTGATAAGTGTTGTGTTGCATATGGGACAAATGTATGATCTGGCTCTATGGCTTATACATAGTTCAACAATGATTGTTTGGTGTTTTCAGCTGGGTTTAAAACACATTTACAATAACAGATACCTAAATGTTCACAGTCGTCTGTGATGAAGCAATAAACTGGTACTAAACAAACCTTCAGGGAGTTTTCTCTTCACTGTGTTTCATCACTATATGTATCAACTTACCCGGGAGGTGGAAAATCAATATCAGTGCCACCAAAATGTCCGCACTACCCTGTCCATTGTTCTTCCTCCACACTCAGTACTGGTCCTGTTGAACTTATTTGATGAAATATATACTGTATGTGTTAACAAAGAAGATTTTTAGATGTAATGCCTGGATAACTCCTGAAATCTGGAAGGCTGAATTTTTTCTTGATGTCTCTCATGTGGCTGATACTATTTTTCTCAGGTAAGATGTTATTTTTTTTAAATCTAATAAAGAATCAGACAATTGCAATTCTATTTATTTGTAAGCTAGAAATTACCTACAGAGATTTATTCCAAAATATTTATGTTTTGTGAAAAGAAAGCACCGAAATCTCCACTCTAGATTCATTTGATGGACACCTCGACAGCGTGACACATTGCTTTCATACCCATTTTACTTACATTAGGTCAGTGAGAATGTGGAGGTCTATTTTCAAAGAGTACTTTCAAACATAAAACATGTGCATTTGTAATAATTAATCCAGTAGTAAAGAAAAAGTAGTTAGCTTGCCACTATTATTATAAAGCTATTAAAAAAGATTTAAAGGGTTTTGTCTTACACATTCCTTACATTTTGATACTATAGCATAATTTCCTTGAGGTCTGTCTGCCTAAAAATGTGATAGACTCATTAGTTCATCCCATATTAAGTATCAGTATGCATGGTATTGCACTGTATTGTATTGAGCAGCAGATAACTACTTCATCTTAGAACTCAACAATTCCCCACATGCCACTTCCCTCTCCCACATTTCTCCCACTGTCTGAACATTATATATGTATTGTGATGCCTTTAAGAACCCATTAGACATGACAGCTTCAATATATTGTATATTGCTATAATACTACAAGCAATTCTATGTACCAATTATTTGAAAAACAATTAAAGAAAACGGAGCCTCCTTAAAGTCTTGATCATTTCAGTTTTGTGCTGGCACATACAGTATTGTATCATTAAACAAATATGCAATTAAATAACTTACCACAAACTAACATTGAACACAAAACCTCTGGGCCCCCTGATGGTCTGGGGCCCCAGGTTAAGTTGCCTTCTTTGCCTAGTAACTTAGCTTTGTATTTTAGCCCTTCTGGCTGAATGCGTGCCAGAGAAGCCAAAGAGATCTGCTCTGAACCAGCTGACCAGGATCCTACTGAGGAAATACGACTGTGGCGTTCGACCTGTTTATAACTGGACCACTCTTACCACTGTCTACATAGACCTCATATTGCAGTCTGTCCTGGATGTGGTATGTAAACTTTGACGGCTCCTTGCTTAGGTCACACTGCTGTTAAATTTTAGTTTCTTTTTTGACAGGTTGGGATAATCTGATATCTTCTAATTAATGTGAAGAGTAAAACTGTTTTTTCAGTCTCACTGTGAATTTCTAGTCACCTTAATATACAATAAAACACTCGTACACTTGTACTGTTAAACTGTATCATTAAGATAGTTTCCTTTTTCCCAGGATGGAAAGACACAGAGCATTACAACAAGTATTTGGTACAGACAGGTAAGTGACATTTCATTTCTCTCATTTTTAAAATCATTGTGTACTTAAGAGAAAACCATTTATCCCCATCTATAAAAAAACATTTTTATAATTAAAACAGATCCAATTTTCAGTCATTGAGTTTTGCTGTACGTTGCCTCAGAGTTGACAGCTCTGAACAAGCAATGCATCATTTAAAAGTTTTGTCACAGGATTCATTGTGACTGTAACAGTAACTCTCCGACATGCATCTGAATTACACTGTATTGCCTTTGACACATTTCATCCTCTGTTTTCAGATCTGGACTGATGAGTTTCTGGTTTGGGACCCAGAGGAGTTTGATGGTATCAGTGAGATCTCACTGTCATCTGATGCCATCTGGATACCTGATGTTATCGTTAGTGAAGTGTAAGAAATTACTGACAAGAACTCATCAAAGCAATTGAATCCAGTGCTCAGTCTACACCGTTCTTCTGTTTTACCAGGGCAGGTTTTAGAATGTGTGCTTGCTATCTTCCAGGTAGTCAGTGACCTCCACTGAGTTCAGTAAACTATGAATATGATCTTGGCCACGTCCTATTGTCCATCATAAACCCCAAACACAAAATCTTTATGATACTTATAATTTAAGAATGTATTCCTTTGGTGTCCCTCCAGAGAGTATCAAAAAAGACACCAGGCCTTCCTAAATAAAGAATACGCTAAAGTTCAGATTTGTAAGATTCTGATCATTTCACAATTGTACACCTCTTTACTGCAGTACAGTTATACAGTGAAATGTAATCTAATATCATGTATGACACTGTTAGTTTCATTATTATATGTCAGATATAACAAATCTGTGCATAAAATTAGCCAAAAAGTACACAAAGGAAGCATTGCTGTATGCTAACTACTAATACAAAAACACTGGCTTTTGATTCTGAAACCGAAATTTATAAGGATATTAACATTTTATGATTAAATATAGAACACATTGGTAATTACCAAAGGGATGTTGAGATCAGACTGTGCTTCTAGAATGACCATTGATGCAGATCACTTGATTTTCCCAGGAGTTCTGCTGCTGGCTAGAGCTGTCCAACAAATTAAAAAAACAAATAAATAAGTCAAATCTGAACTGCACTGAAGCAACACATGAGCACGTGGCACATAACAGTTGTCTTGACAGTTGCTGTCCAGGTCACATCTGCCTTGCTTACCTCGCCTGTTCTTTGTGTATATTCTTAGTGTGGATCAGGGAAAGTCCGCTCCGATCCCCTATGTTTACGTCAACTCCTCTGGCTCAGTTAAGAACTACCGGCCCATTCAGGTGGTGCTGGCCTGCAGCCTGGAGATGTACGCCTTTCCATTTGACAAGCAGAACTGCAGCCTCACCTTCCGCAGCTGGCTTCACTCAGGTCGGTTTCCTGCCTGCAATGGAGAGGCTGAAAACTCAGTCAGTTCAGCACCTTTGAATTTGCCAAATAATTCTTAACACCTGTACTGTGTATAAGGTAAACTTGGATCCCTTTTTTCATTTAATTGGTGGGGTTTGTTACACAGCCATTTGAGGAAATGATCTGATTGTGTGTTTCTCATTTAACCTCCACCAAACACAAGCTCAGTGTGATTATACGTGTGTAACAACAAAATCACAAAAGCTCTGAAACCTTATATAAGCTTTACAAAATAACTCAAGGTCAAGGTTAACTAGATTTTCTCAAAGCTTTCACATTCATCTTCATCATCCAGTGCAGGTTAAACTTAAGGCTAGGTCTGACACCAGTAAATTAACAGGAACCACTAGAAGCAACTTGTTAGGGAGCCAGAGTCTTTAAGTCATAAGGACTCATGTCTTTGGGCAGCATAAAGAAAACTGATACATTCAAACTCTTACTTTGAAGCCAAAGTGATTAACATACTGTATTTATTGCCTTTGTTTTTATGTCCACCATTCATCTCTTTTAATCCTTCATTATCTCTCCCTCTGCAGTGAAGGAAATAGACCTGGCTCTATGGAGGAGCGCAGAGGCCATTGCTAATGATAAGAGGGAGTTTATGAATGATGGAGAATGGGAACTGCTCTCCATTCCTTCACGCTACTGGCAGTTCCACCAAGACGACACCGACTATGCCCACATCCAGTTCAATGTACGTGACATATTGTCATCTAACTTACAAATTAACCTTTTTGTTCCCTAAATTTGTAAGTAATAGTGCAGATTATTTATATAAAACCTTAATTTAGCTTAAACAATCTAATTGTATAATATTTTGGAGGTGTAACTGCTCTTTAAAAGCCATTCTTCATGAGAGAGAAACTGTACAGCGATGGCCATGATTGATGGTGAGCTTTAAATTGTAGCCTTCTGTGGGTTATCACCCCCACCCCACCCCCCATTTGCTGCACTGTGTGGTGGAATTGTAAAGTGTAAAGCAATTGGCTGAGACCTTCATGGATCGGACTAGTGAGCTAATGCCAAACGATGAGGCCGAGGCTGTTTCTGGCAAGTAAAGAGACAGATAAAAAGAGAGGCTGATAGACAGGGGAGGGTGAGCAACCATAATGAGACTGTCTCAGTGGCTGCCTGATCAATGGACTTCTTGTTAGTGGTGAGGAAAATGACCCCATAGCCCATTGCAGGTGGACAGCGTGGAGGACTGCTATTTATTCAGCTCAAAGAGTGAAGGCTTTTTGGTAATGGAGCATTTCATGGCTCACTGGGATATTGTTACATTGCAGTTTCATTGCTAGAGTAGACAGGGCATATAAAAAGGTTCACTTTTAGTTTGGAGATAACAATGTTAACAAAACTGGAGATAGATCTGTATGAAGCAAAGATTATAACACAGCTACATTATATATCTGGGTTCAAACACTTGCCAAATAAACACTTGTATTGACTACAGAGCGCAGTAAATATGGTTTAGCCTTCCTAGTGCAAAGTGTTGCACCTTAAAGAATTGTATCGCAATAAAGAAACTAGTGGAACAGTGTGTGACCAGGAGGTGACTGTCAGAAATTAAGCACTTTATAATTAGATCTTTGAGCCCTGTCTACTGGACAACAGTGAAATGTTCAGTGTTAGGCTACTTGTTGAAGCAGCACACAGAGTATCACACTGAACACATGGCACATTTAAACTGTTATAGGCCACACCATTTACAAAGTTTCTTTGCTTCTAGCAGCTTCATTTTTAAAATAGCTCAGATAGAATTCTACTTATAGCATGACTTAAAAAGGTGGTTTGCAAACAAGAGGTTAGGTCCCCCACAAGGGTTCACAAGATAAATTTAGGCATCACAACAAACATTTTAGGAAAGTCTGATTTTGGCTGCTATTTTTTTTTTCTTATGAATTAATTTTATCTCTTTGGGCAACCCCCCCCCCAATAAAAAACAAATCAAACAAAAAATGTACCTGTCACTTTTTAAAAAGGTAATTTTTCATCCATGTGAGCACCATAAAAAGTTCTTCTGACGTCTATACACATTCATAACAGGCATTTTGATTTGTCATAGTAAATCTCAGAATAACAATGGCACCATTTTGCCTAAGTGACCCAGTGAGTAATGATTGCTTGACAGTGAGCCAGCATGAGAAATAACAGGGCCCTGAAACACAAGTGGATATATAGAGTTCTACCTTCAAGTTCTATTATTTACACCTATGCCTTTCCTCCTGCTGTATGTCAAAATGTCTTACCAGAAAATTACCCATTTTATTTTCAGAAATCTCAAAGGTAGTTATGTCAAAACCTGGACAAAAATACAGTAACTACATTTAAAAAAACTATCTGTATAGTTAGATGCTATTAAAGGGAAATATGTAGTTGAATAAATGACATTATTTCTCCATGTCCATCAGTTCTCATCTCTCTTTCCATCCCTCATTCAGGTGTTGATCCGCCGGCGCCCCCTGCTGTATGTGGTTGGCCTCCTCATCCCCAGCATCTTCCTCATGTTGGTAGATGTGATCAGTTTCTACCTGCCTCTGAACAGTGGTACACGAATTGTCTTCAAGATTAGCATTCTGCTGGGCTACACTGTCTTCAGAGTCAACCTGACAGATGAAATGCCTGCCACTGCTGTCAGAACACCACTCATAGGTGGGATCTTTTATGATTGCTGTTTTGTATATGTTTCCTTTCTAGCCATTTTCTTTGTTTTAGACCTTTGATTCACTTTTGTTGTCATATTTTTCAGTCATCTGGATTTTGTCTGTTCAGTGCATATGCAAAAATTTTACTCCCTCGACAATCTATTTTATCTTGTTAATCTTTTATTACAACCAGAAAGGTTACTGTTCTCACAAAACAAATTCCAAATAGCATGGTCCTATAAGTAACCCATGTTATTAATAATGCCTTAATCCGATTATTGGACAGCTTTTCTTTTTTTTTGTCTCTCATCTCCGTCAAGGTGTGTTCTTCGTGGTGTGCATGGCCCTGCTGATGCTCAGTCTGATCAAATCTATACTGGTGGTGAAGCTGCTCCACCACAGTGAGGAGGAGGTCAGGCAAATGTCAGTGTTTGCCTGCCTGCTAGACAAGTATGGCTCAACTGGTCACAGCTTCACTGACAGCGCTTTAACCTCCATCAGAACCCTTGATCACATCAACCCAACCGGAGGTAATCTAGAAGCACAGAGACTTAAATTTTCCAAATGTCTTGCTGACAGGGAATATCTGAATACATTTTTACTTTTCTGACGCCAAAAACCGGTCAAGAAACACTTGGATAAATGGAAGCCAATGCCCCTTTTTTCTGTGTGTGAAAGTTTATGGTCTAAAAATAAAATGATACAGTTTGTACCAAAGTGTTTTGAAAGTATCAAAAGTGCCAGGGACATTGATAAATTCCTACTGATTGGTTACATTTATTTATGGAAGGAATATACATAAATTTATACTGATGGTTTGCATTTTAAACCCGATTTGTTGACCTCTTTATAGAGTATGAGCTTGAGCCATCACTGGAGGGTGATCTGCTGTCCCTGACTGAGATCCAGGATACTCCCTCTGGGCTAGAGTGGCTCCTCCGAGAGCTGGTTTCTCTCCGCCTAGCCTTATTCCAGGAGGACAATGAGTCTTTAGGTCAGGCTGATTGGCTAGCCCTCTGCTTGAAGCTTGACTGCTTCCTCTTCCGACTTTATCTGTTGGTTCTGGTCTTGTATACTAGTACTTTGTTTCTGCTCTGGGCCAGCTGGAGCTTTGCCTGAACACACACTTACGGACTTAGCAATTTTTGAATAAAGTACTTGTAGCTTATGCTGTGTTCCTAGATCCCAGTTATAAATTTGGTGAATAAAATAAAGAAAGCTAAGATTAATTTGCCAAAACTACAAAAAGTTAAAGTTGTCTGAAACTAAGACTATCTTAAACATTCTATTTGCATTTTCTCTCAGGATATTGCACTGTCAGTGTATGGTAGCAAGAAAGTGACAAGCAGAACTGCATTACTGTATTGGGTCTGTTATCATGTTTTCCCGACAGTGGAGATTTACTCAGAGATACTGTATAATAAAGCAGCTCTCTGGAGAAAACCCTGAGTGCCAGTGTGATGTTATAATACTCTATTCATACTTTAATCTCCATCCTGCTGCCACAGAATAGATCAATAAAACCCATTCAGAGCTCAGCCGCTGTGTCTCTATTCCCTGTTGGTTTCCTAATAGTCATGATAAGAATATCAAAAGTGCGTCACAGAAAATTCACTGGTGGAAAGATCCATATTAATGCAATTTTCACAGTATCTGTGAACCTCTTCTTCCAGTGGGTATGGTTACGTGATATTATGAAACAGAGCCTAAGAATTAATGTTGTCAGTGTCTTGTTACTATCACAAAGATAACCAATAGATGTATGCTCACTTTGTTTTGAATACGACTGATCTCTAATTGACTGTAACTATTCTTCTGAAATAAAAGAAAATCCCATGAGCTGCATAAGACTACATTTTGAAGATAGTACACAATAAAAGTGAAAGTAAAAACCTCAGAGTCAGCCCAGGTGTCACCCTGCCCTATGTATTTCTGAGGTACTCAGAAAAGAAATTATTTGATTAATATATCTGTAAGATCGCTGTCAGCCCTGGGACAGTGAAAACAGGTCAAGGCTTCTATGGATGCATTACTTATTAGTCAGTCACATGTGAAGACTTAAAAAAAAAATTAAATAGATAGAATAAACAAAAAAGCAATTTGACTAGACTACCCTTATTTCCCTCTTGATAAATCAAAATAAAAGTTCCAATGGACCTTTACTGGCATCCTCTGATCGGTGCATTTTGGCAGATATTATATCCTCTTATTTTGATGGCTGACTGACAATATTCATAAAACAAGAGTGGGTACAGTTCTCACTGGTCAAATCAAAATGCAAATTGTCATATTTTCCATGATATGACCCAAGTAATGGCACAATTCAAATTCATAAGCCTAATTTTGATGGTTTAAATTTTGGTAAAAATTTAGGTAAAAATGAAAAATACAAAGTACATTCACATTCAAATTCTCTAACTACGGAGGCACCAACTACCAAAGTCTTGTTTAAAGCCTTTCCAGAATAGTGGCATAATACTGCAGGAAATACAGTACCTTTGACCATGTGTATTCATACCTGTAAAAAGGTTTGTATTCAAGTGTTATACATCATGCACACAACTGGCAAATAAAATTTTAAATTTGATTAAAATTTATTTTAATATTTGCAGCCAGGAGCTTCCATAATAAGGATTTTAATCTAAACAAAATAAAGTGAAATTAGGCCAGCATAGCCACTGTATGTGATAAAGGAGTGTAAATACTTAGACACTACTATCTGTTAGTGAGTTGACACCCTTGCCTAACAGTTTCTTTACTGATAACCAGTAGCCCTGTGTTGATGTATTAATTAAATGATTTTAAAGACATGACATATAATCTGGGCAGAAAGTCCTAGCTTGTATTTCTGCAGTTTTTGAGCTCAGTCTATCTCAGCTAGCAGTTGCTGTTTAATTGAATAAGAAGGAGTGGCATCAGAGCAGATGGATACACCCTTATGAGCCGAGTGGCACTAACAAGGTTTTGATAGTGGATAGATATGGAGTGTGTTAGCTGTCCCGAGGCTTTTCATCAGAGCAGCGAGCGGGTTTCCACAGCAGGAGAAGAAAACGCAGGTGAACTGGCACCATGAGACTCTCAGCTTGCACAGCGCTTGTTTTCCTTTTGATTCAAGGAACATTGAGAGCGTGCACAGGTACAGCGGCTTCTGTTTTACTCTTCATTGTATGTCAGACATTTAACTAGTAACCTACAGCATGACAAAGTCTCTCCACTTTTATTTGTAAAATTTAGAGTAACAGATTATTGTTTTGTCTAAGAAAGTTTATGGTTGACAGTACAATTTTAGTCAATTTGGAACATTCTTATAAATATTAGATATGGAATAATAACATAACTAAAGTGTACTGAATGCATTTAAAAAAAAAAACATTAGTATGTAAAAAAAAGAAATCATTTTAGACTTTAAGGTTATTAACCTAATAATTAAAGCTGAAATGTTTCAGAATCTTAATTTAAAAAAACACTACTGCTGTCAACAATCGCAATAATAAGAATTAAGCTACTTTTAAAACAGCAACAAAATTTAAAGTCACACGCTGTTTGTTTATCTCTAACAAATTATTAATTGTACAACTATTGTTAATGGTTATAGTGGTTTTATTTGAATTACTGTCAGTGGTGCTCAAGGTTATAGCTTTAAAATATATTATTCTGTACTGTATTCTCATTTACAGAGATAAAAGTACAATCAATCCTTAAGTAAAATTGTATACTGCAGAGTGAAGGTTAATCTTACTTGAAACAAAATATCCTAACATTTTATATTTTAGATTTCTTGCATGGAATTTTCAGCATTAATTCAATATACTGTAACATCTAATAAAGTCATGTTGTTTGAAACAGCCAACTTTTAGATTTGTTCATTATATAAATATACACCTAAATGATCAATACATTTAAAAACTATTTATAAATTTAATTTCAGATTTTTATTTTTTATTTTCATGGTTGTTTTGACAACTTCCACTTCCATTTATGATCTTTTCAGTTTATTTAGCTATTCACATTAAAGAAGTGTTTATTTTGGAATGCTGTCAGTTAAATACCAGAAAGATCAAATAAAAAAAGGATAAATGAATGAATGAAGAAAACCTTTATACATCGTGTGTGCTCCATTAAACTCAGTTTATTAATTTACATGTATACTTAAACATACATAAATGTATTTAATATTTTTAATGGCTTTTAACTGTCATAAAATTAATCTCTCATGACAGTGTATCTTATAAATGGTGTATTTTAATGCACTGTTTTGTACATTTTCAGTGAAGAAACTGGGCAGCAGCACAGGACGATTTGCCAATGCCACCTTAGTGCGCCTGTCAGATTTTCTGAGTGCAGGGTATAAGAAAGGAGTGAGACCTGTGAAAGACTGGAGAACATCCACTATAGTGGCCATAGACCTGATGGTTTACTCTATTCTCAGTGTGGTGAGTGGAGAACAGGTCACACTAACTTGCTCTTTCAATTACTGCTGTGTACACGCTGTGTTCACTTCAAATTATTACTGTATTAATAATTTTAATATATTATTAATACAGTAACATGGCTGGATTAACCTGCTATGGGTCCCTAGAGAAACAGTTACCTACTGGATTTATATGCTTCATAATATTATTTAGCTCCATTAATGAACAGGAAAATTTTGTTCCTGAGAACAGTTTTTTCCTCTTGCATTACAGGATGAGAAGAACCAAGTTTTGACAACATATGTGTGGTACAGACAGGTAAGACAAATGGATTCACAAAAATCACAACTATTAATTGTCCCAAAAACACTACTTGTCAAACATAACTACAGTATGTTGGTTTACTGCATTATAATTAATCTATATTTTACCCATTCAAGCCCTGTTCCATACTTAGTTTTTATTACATCTACATATTTATAGTTTTTATTACATCTTATTCCTCTTCACTATTGTATGCTTTAATTCAGTCTAATCATCTGTAATGCTTTTTATAAAACTATAATGCTATTCTACAGTATGCATTTAAGATGTTTTTTTATAATATACAACTATTTTTGTTCACACCCACTATGCAAAACATAAAAGAACAATTTGTTATCGTATTTAGATGATGTTCCACTCATTTAGCTTCTTGAATATTTTAGTCATGGAAGGATGAGTTCCTGGTCTGGAACCCAGAAGACTTTGATGAAGTCAAACAAGTTTCCATACCCACAGCTAATGTGTGGGTGCCCGACATCCTCATCAATGAGTTGTAAGAGCCGCTGCTGTTAATGCCATTATTTCTACTCCACTATTATTGTGCCAGGGCTGGTCCAGGCCTTTCTGTGGTCCTTTGCAGAACCGTTTTTATTATTTCTGTCTCTAACCTGCAGTGTAGATGTGGGAAAGTCTCCAGACATTCCTTATGTCTATGTGACACATGAAGGACTGGTGCGCAACTACAAGCCTATCCAGGTTGTCACAGCCTGTACACTCAATATCTACAACTTCCCATTTGATGTTCAGAAATGCAGTCTCACCTTCCAGAGCTGGCTTCATACCAGTAAGACTTTCTCCACCAGCTTTCAGCGTTTACAATTTGATTGAACTGTCAGCAAATGCATATATGTCATTAAACATTAACAGGTACCAACCACAGTGGCACTACTGATAGTTTAGGCCTATCCAACAACCATCTCTTAAGTAACTTTTTGACTCAATTCTACATGTTAGGCCTATCCAACAACCATCTCTTAAATAACTTTTTGACTTTTCTACATCTTTTTGAGTATTTACCACTTTACATAAGCAACATGTATCTGCAGCTTTTTTCAGTGCCACCAAAATCTGGTCATTATGCTACTCTCTGGCATCAGACAATAACATCCACTTCTCTTAACAACTCTACTCATCACAAAACAAGTTTTGTGCATCAGTGACCTCGCTCCTGCTGTGACATACGCTTAGAGAACAAAGTGGTCGGGGAAGGGCAACGTGTTGCCATGACTGTCTCACTTTGCTACTGACATTGTGTTCGATCTGTAGTTGATGACATCAATATCACCCTGATGCGAAGCCCCGAGGAGCTCAGTGAGGACAAGAGTGTCTTTATGAACCAAGGAGAGTGGGAGCTGCTTCATATACTGTCCAAGTACAAGATCTTCAGTGTGGACAATGATGACTACTATGCTGAGATGAAGTTCCATGTGAGTATATACAGTGAACACAAAGCTCTTAAGATTCCAAGCGTATGTTTAGTATAAATGTGGAATGGCCCCTTTAGGGTCAAAGCTTGTCTCTTTAGGTAGGCTGGCAGCCTGCCATCATTGTTGTTCTTTAACAAACTCAGGGATTGTTGAAAAGAAAAAAAAAACAAACAATGATCTTCCAGTGGGTAGGTAAGGTTCACAGACTAAGTGACAAGACCTGACTCAAAATTAAAGTGACCTGTATTTCTGGACCAGAAAACCCAGGGTTTCCCTCGACTCAGGCAGGCTTCACTGAGCCTAACACTGAGCATCCTGGATAACCGGTACCACAAAGCCAGTTATCAACAGGCTCTGTGGAGTCTGAAATGTCCTTTCACTCTACGAGCACGTTCCTAGGAAAGCGGTAGAGTTGTCAATTATAAGTAACATCACCAGAACCATGAATGAATATAATCTAAAATGGAACAGAAATATTTGAGGGGAAAAAATCATTAGCGGCAGGGGAACTGTGAACAAGGCTATGGTCATAACTAAAATAGAATAAGAAGCTATTGAAACACTAAAAATAACTTTCAAATATTAAGGAAAGACTAAGAATATACTGTACATTAGTGTGGTACAAGGGTCTTATTCATTTTTCTACTTTGTCTGATGATGAAACCTATTGTGAACATGTGTTAGTAGGGAGAAGAAAGCACAGTGAATTACACCTAAAGTCAAATGTTCATAAATAATAAAAAAAATTTAATAGTGTATGGATTATTTATATAATTAAACAGACAATCATCATCACAGACTCTCATATTATTCTAGCTGCAGTAATCAGTAAAAATATCAACAGGCAAGAATTTGGTCCTGAAAAAAAAAATCTGTGCATTTAAAATATAGGGTTGATCATCATGTAGCTAAAGTCTCCATCAGTTTGTTAAAAATGCTGAGTAACCAAAGCCTGAAACAGCACAATGATGACTGCTCTATTTAATATTTATCACATTAATGTAGACTCTACTACTACTAATAGAAAACCTGCGCTGAGCCAAAAGACCACTAATCTTGCTTTGTGGTTATCACCTGTGTCTCGTTTCCAAATACAATAGGTCATATGGAGAATATGAAGCACAAATAGCATCCACATACAATGTATGAATGTACTAGCATGATTAAAGCCATTAATTAACGATTAAAGCCTTTTGCTTTGACTTAAAACTAAATTTCCCAGGTGGTGATCCGGCGGCGGCCTTTGTTCTACACTGTGAACCTGCTGATGCCCAGTATCTTCTTGATGGTGATGGACATTGTGGGTTTCTATCTGCCACCAGACAGTGGAGAGAGGGTTTCCTTCAAGATCACTTTGCTGCTGGGCTATTCCGTCTTCCTCATCATTGTATCTGACACTCTGCCAGCCACCGCCATAGGAACCCCACTGATAGGTGACTGGGATATATTACTGCTAATCAGCAGTTTGCATTCAGAACAGGATTTATGAAAGGAGTGTCAGCTTTTGATTTGAAAATATTTTAATTGATGTAGTTAAAAAAAACTAAAAAAGAAAGGAAAAACGAGTGGTAAACTATTGCCTAAAGTTGTGACACCATGAAAGCAACAATTAGTTTGCAAGTCAAGCATGAAGAGACAGACTAATGAGGGTAAAACAAGTTCAGAGAGAGAATTCAGACTAAATTCAACCGCTGACATCAGGATTTTGGAAGGCAGGGCAACATCACTGACAAGGTTCCACTACTTCATATAGGTCTACAGTATAAGAGGTACAGTACTACCCTTCATGCTGAATCCAAGTTAATGCAACCCCAAGATGTAATCTTCAGAAAGAATCCAGACTCAAACCTGCTACCTACTGTCTGTATGAAACACAATGTTAATCATAAATAACTGAAGCACCATGTTCCTACCATTATGTGTTTCACTAGTGAGTTATCCTACTGTACTGCTGCAGTATCTGGTTTTAAAGAAAATGTATCACCATCAGACACCTTATCTCATCTTACCTGTCTTGCAGGTGTGTACTTTGTGGTTTGCATGGCCCTCCTGGTGATCAGCCTTACAGAAACTGTGCTGATTGTACGTTTGGTCCACAAGCAAGACCTGCAGCCCCCTGTACCCCACTGGGTAAAGTACCTTGTGCTGGAGAGAGCTCCAGTCCTCTTCTGCATCCACAAGAATCATCGCTTCTGCTCTAGACTGTCCTCCCAGGCGTCTGACCTGGAGAACTACAAGGACAGCAGCTATGGGACTGGTAAGGTACAGGTGGAAGCATGTACAGTAGTGGTTTTTGTTTGATGTCCCCTTGACTAAAAAAGCTCAAGTAATGTTAATGGCTTTGATGGAAAAAGTGAATATATGGTAAAAGCAAGTAAAATATGTTGTCAGTCAGGCTTTTGCAGATACATTGAGTAAAAATAAATGTAAGGTCAGATGTCTGAAAAACTTTTAAAATGTCATAATGTGGGAATCCACAGGACATCATTTTAGAGAGGTCTGACCAGTGGTTGTCAAGATATCTTGCTTGCTTTCTTTATTGTTGTATTGGAAGTCATAGACAGACTGATCAGTTTTTCCATTTTAAGCTGATATATGTTCAAGTATACCAAAACCACACAGTGATAATATTGAGCATCATTTTCAAATTGATTCACCTTTACTTTAATCTTCATCACCACAAAAAAAAATTTCTGTAATTAAAATCTACAAAAATTCAAAGTAAAACTAAATCTATCCTTGTCCCATCCTGCAGCCCCATGCACCCTCCATCCCACCTGTGATCGAGTTCGAAGGCTCAGTCAGCATGACAGAGAAGGTGGGTTGCTTGGACTTGGCCTGCCTCCCTCCAGGGACCCCACCCCACCCGTCATGGACAACATCCTGCAGGAAGTGACAGCAATACGCCACTTTCTGGAGAAGAGGGACAGGTGCCGGGAAGTTGCTAAGGAGTGGCTGCAAGTTGGCTATGTGCTGGATGTACTGCTCTTTAGAGTTTACTTAGTGGCCATGGTGGCCTACAGTATCACACTGGGGACCCTGTGGTCAGTGTGGCAGGTTGCCTGAATCTTATTACTTCACTGATGTGGAAACAAACTCAGCGAATAGAGCGTAGACTTTACAAGACCGGAGCTGGTGGCTCTATGCCCTGTGTAGCTCGGCGGATACTGGGAGGCACTCATAAAGTAATCGGACAGGGAAATGGTTCCTATAATTGGAACCTACTGTATGTACATTTAAAGGTTAAGTGACCGAATGGGTTTGCTATTACAGTACTTGGAATACTAAAACAATGTTCATCACTTTAAATACAATAATATCTCAGTGTAAGAATCTAAATTGGTCAAACCTTAACAAGCTGTTACAATAAAGGTCAAACCTGAGGAAACAAAATGTGGGGACATCCCACACTGAAGGTATAGTAAAGAATTAGAGGCGAGCTAGTGACCAGTAGCACATCTGTTAACTGTTTTTATAATGTTGTTCCTGCAAAATAAATATTTAAAATATATATTAACTGTACATTAATAAACAAGGACTTTATATTAGTGCAGTAATATAATGTTCTGTTTTGCATTACATGTAAATGAACAAAAACAGACTGCATGTCGCCTTGTGTTCAATGTGGAATTTATTCAATTACAACATAGTTATTCATTCAGACTGCTGAAGAGATACTGTACATTTGGTTTACTTTTGGGTCATGGTTAATCATAAGTGTGCAATTAAGATGGTGGAAAATTGTAGAGCTCCATATCAACATAATGCTGAACTAATTAATGTGTCACCTCATATAATAAAATAATAAAACTATTGAAATGTTGATGTTCACGGTTTGGATAACACTGTTCCAACACATTTCTGCATACATATTTGTGATGTAAAGTTGATAATGTCATACTAATTCATGTGAAATAACCTTAAAGTCATCATTTTTATACAATAAAAATGCTGCTAAACTGCAGCTTGCCCTTGAGAGCAGACAAAGAGACAACAAATACGAATTTTAATTAAAACTGCCATCACAAAATAAAAATAACATTCATAACTTTAATGAATAATATATTCTTTACAGATTACTGTATTTATTAATCATATATTAGTTTCTTTTATAAAACTTCACTTTTTATTTAATTAATTTTGTCCCATGTGATCATCTGCATTTGCCTAAACTCTAGCCACTTTAAAGTCTAAACTGAAAACTCCACTATTGTCCTCTGCCTTTGATTGACTGGTTTCTATCCTGCACTTTCTGTCCTGTAACTGTTAGATGATCATGTTTCAAACCTTTTACTTTGTCTATCTGTTTTTTATGTATTTAGTCTCATTTTTATCTTGATTTTGTCCTAACTGATTTAATTCTGGTTTGAATGCTTAATGTTCTAACATTGTTACTGTTTTTCTGTGCCTATGTAAAGCACAACTGCCTCTGTGCATGAAATGTGCTATATCAATAAAGCTGCCTGGCCATAATTTTTAAATACCACTGTCCCATTCCATTGAAAACCATATATTTTTATAGTTGTTTTTTTTCCCTGTTTAAGCTAAACTTAAGAATTTAACTCTCCACTGATTGAAAATCTACTAACTAACTAATTAGTTAGGGGGAATTCGGAAACGGTGACTAAAATGTATGTAATACACATATAATTTTAAATTATGTGAAGTACATTTTTGTGTAATATGGCACCAACTCATATGATCAATGTAAAATTATTAAATCAATCACTTGATTGAAATGTGTAAATTTACTACTAATCTGCTTTTATTATTCTGTGACTTAGAGTGTTAATATATGGAGACAGATACAAGGAGCACAATACTATACCTTATGTCTTGCTTTACGCTGCTACGCTACTCATTGTGTTAACACATGTAGTCCCACAGAGTAGCCAGATGATGGCACCATGTGCCACGTCAGTTTCCCTTCATCACCAGAGGCCAGAACCTCATGTTATCAGTGACTTTTTAAAGATGCTTATTAGTTTTCTTATTGTATTTATCTTGATTTCATATTTATAATAAATCCAGTATATGTTTATGATAGTTGGAGGTAATCACTTGTTAGCTATGTATTCCTTTGTACAAGATGAAAACATTATGTTAAAGAGATACAACATAAATCAAAAAAACAAAACACTATAAATTAGGTTATGAGAGATCTTCTTAAAGTGCAGCTATCTTTGACTGCACTGTCCAGTCACATTTGACTCAATTACATTTACAGTCATTTAATAATGTTTTAAATCTCCCTTCCTGCTAAGCTAATACTTTTGTAACCTACACCGTCTACATTCATTAGGGTTTTTGCTGTAATAATGATCTTGGTAACAACTGTCAGGAGAGTCTCAAAGTGGTGCATTCATGTTTATTGGAGTACAGCCACAAAGACCTAAACTGTATGAAGTCCATCCCCGCTAGTTCCTTGATTGTTCCTTGATTGCAAAAATACTTGCTCTGATGTTTGATGCGTGTTAAGAGATTTAAGAAATTACACACATTAAAATATCATAGTCACTTAACTTGAGGGATATCCAATCTATCACAGGGATTCTCCTGTCAAGTTAAGTCATGGCAGTTTTTTTTTTTTAATGTAATTATTTATTTATTTTGGGTCACAGATGTTAAAGGCAAACATTACTCTGCCACTCACGATTTTGACTGTATTTTAGACTTGGTTGTTTTAGGCCATATGGTCTGATTTGAAAAGAATCAACAGAGTTTACTTGAAATCTTCATTTTTAATCTTCAGCATCATCACTTTAGTAACGAGAGCTGGTAATCTAAAGAATCTAGCTTTTAGATATGTGTGTCAGAGATCAGCACTGGAACCCCATGCTGCAACACAAAGGCCCTTCAACTATTCATATTACCATCCTGACAAACCATTTCACCATCCCCTGCCCCTTCCTTCCTAATACTCTAAAATAAGATCAAAGTCACACCAAAGCAACAAGTCCAACAAAACCAATCACAATGAGAGTTTTTCATCTCATTTCCTGTTTTCTACCAAAACCTAAAAAAAGGCAAAAAACAAAACAACATAGCTGTGTTACGGGTGTAATACTTGGTGGGTGCCTAAGTGAACAGGGAAAGTGGAGAGCTGCATCATTAGTTTGCAATACACCGAAGTCAAGATCTGATCCTGTGTGCCAGAGAGAGGAAATGAGCAAATATTATGGCATTATTGGGACGTACCAGAGACACTTCTGATGTGATGTTTATTTGTTGGACACACAGACAGCCTTGTCTTGTTGAGCTCTATTCAACAGCCACACTGAGCTGACATGAAGATTTATTATGTAGTCTGATGCATTTTAAAACTTCACATTAGGGAATTACAGCAAGGATTTTCAAAGTTTTAGCACATTATTAAACATTACATCCAAGCATTTCTGATATATGTGTGTATCATCTTAATGCAGAGTCAAGACTGCATCATCGTGAGGACAGCTCATTGCTAGTGCTTTTAATTGCTGCTTGTGACAATGAAAGTGTTAGGGTGCGCTCGAACACAGAGTGAGCGAGCAGATAAAAAGCGGACCCAGGTGGCTGGCTTCGGTGCAAGCAGTGAGGTTTATTTACAGTGAAGGTAGTGACATACAGTATATACAGGAGGAGTAATGAGGTAGATGACCGGGTGTCGATCAGCAGCAGCAGAAAAACAGTCAGTGGTATGGTAGATGATGATGTACCAGGCTGCGGACGCAGAGGTCACTCCTGGGCTGGTCGAGGTGGAGGTGATGATGGCTGTAGACAGAAGAGCAGGGATAAACTGGGTAAGCGAGACTGTGCATCGACCTGGGAGGTGGTGGCTGGTGGTGTAGATTAAATCCAGGGGGGCCCAGAGGAAAGGTCCGAAGAGGAAGAAGACACTAGAGACGGCAGGGCAGGATAACAACTAGGGTGCTAACAAGGACTAGAGAGAACAAAGACAATCTTAGCATAAACTCGACAAAACAACATAACAACCACTGGCCTGAAGACAGAGAAAGAACTGGCAGGGGAGTGACTGGTGAACAGTGTATAAGTATGGAGGAGACTAATGAGGTGCAGCTGGTGAGTAATCAGGGAAGCGGGGAAGGTGTGTTGAATAGTGTAATCAGTGCAAGGGCTAGGCTAGTGTGAGAAAAAGAAGAGAGGAAGGTGGAGCTGGGCAAACCTGACACTTCCTTGTTTCCAAGGAACTGCTACATTTTAGACATTGCTCTCCTGTTCCAATAAAACTGCTCTGCCTGTGTGTGTGTATATTGCTTCCTCTTCCTGGGCTCAGATCTAATCTCTATTTCAACTATTCAAGGAATCCCCATAAACTATAGCTTCCCCGGCCCATTAACCAGGTGGTGGTAATAAAGTAACTGTGGACCCTCTTTGCTAAAGCTGTAAATCTAATGAGATTTCAGTGTTTTAGTGAACCAGTCTCCCTTGATGTTAACCAGTGCTTCAGTTGGCTAACACAGTAAATACTGACCAGTGATTCAGTGAACACATAGGGTGATATATAGATATGTAACTACATAAACATAAACACAACTGTG